CTGGGGAATGGACAGCAGAGAAGAGGGCGGAGGGAGACATTGGACAGGGTAACTTATGACAAATCTATAATAATTTATGAATTATGAAGGGTTCAAGAGGGAGGGGGGAGGGGGAGGGAGGGGGAAAATGAGCAAACGATATTGAGGGAGGGCAAGTGTTTTGAGATTGATGAGGGCAACAGGTGTACATAGGTGCTTGACTCAATGGATGTATGTATGGACTGTGATAAGAAACGTATGAGCCCTCAGTAAAATAATTAAAAAAAAAAGAATAATGAGGGTAACAAATGTACAAATGGACAAATGTGCTTTATACAATTGATGTATGTATGGATTGTGATGAGTTGTATGAGCCCCTAATTAAAAAAAAAAAAATTCTGGTTCTAGAGGACCAGATGGTCAGCAAAGAGTCCTTGGGCATCTAGTAGAAGTTAGCCTTGAGGATTTTGTGGTTAGTGAAGCAGAATTGACTCCTGCTGGTACTTCATGAAGCTTAGGATCTGGTTGAAGAAGAAGACATTAACCAAGGAATTATCGAAGTGAACGGAGGGACGTTCGGTGAGACAGCAGCTCAGACAGACACACAGCACCAACTCTCTGCAACACAGCTGTCAAGGACACGCTTGGAGCCCTGACTGTGAGAAAAGAAAGATCAGTTAACCGAACAGCGACAGCACACATCACAGAGTGGCACTGGCACGGAAAGAGCCAGGGGGGAAAACAAATTCTCCAGTGGCTAACCATGAACAGCGTCTCCACCCGTGCAAAGCCATCTCTGTTGCTTGACAACAAGAAAGGTGGGCCCTTTGCTCCTCACATCCGCTGGGTGAAGAAAGAAGTGACGGGACACCCCCCTCCATATCCTTGGGACTAAGAGTGCAGGCAAAAAGAGGGGCAGAAAGAGGGAACCGATTACAAGGATCTCTATATGTGACCTCCTCCCTGGGGGACAGGCAACACAAAAGTGGGTGAAGGGAGACGTCGGACTGGGCAAGATATTACAAAATAATAATTTATAAATTATCAAGGGCTGAGGGAGGGGTTGCGGGGAGGGAGGGGAAAAATGAGGACCTGATGCCGGAGGCTTAAGTGGAGAGCAAATGTTTTGAGAATGATGAGGGCAATGAATGTACAAATGCGCTTTACACAATTGATGTATGGATGGGCTGTGATAAGAGCTGTATGAGCCCCTAATAAAATGATTTAAAGAAACAAGAGGGGCAGAGCAGGCGAGACTGCCACAGGGCACAGGAGGCTGGTGAAGGGAGAACAGCATGGCTAGGTTCCCCACACCTGCTTGATTCTCAGAGCAGGTGCCAGCCCGACATTGTGTCTCACTGGCAGCAAAGGCTTCGATCTTCCTGTGGAGCCCAATCCCCTGTCCCCTGGGCCTGAAAGCAACAGTGAGAACTGTTTGGGGTTTTGCTTGTTTGTTTGTTTTCCTTGTTTTGATAAATTGCCAGCACAGCCCCAACCGAGGTGGAACTAACAGGAAGACCCACCCTTCTTGGCAGCCCCGGAAGTCAAAGTAGGGGTGAGGCCTTTCTATAGAGCCAGTCTGGATTTGTTGTTTTGGGTTTGGTATTTTCCTTTTTTGTTGCTGTTAACCTGCCAGCGGAGAGACATGGTGCAAGAGGAGTAAATCATTTATAAGGTCCCCCAACCCTCTGGTGATCAGAAAATTTCCACCAACCCCCACCTCTGGCTACACTTCTCCTGTGAGCACGTGAGGAGGCACTTTGATAAGGACACACTAGTGACTCAGAAAGAGAAAGCAGCTGCTGGCTGCGGCTTGGGCGTTTCAGAGTGTGTTTATGTGTGTGGTGTCCACTCATTTATTTATTTGCTCCCGTGTTTTGTTTTTGCTATTTATTTCTTGCTCCACCTGAGGGGTTCACCTGTCCCACACGACACAGCACCATTGCACCTCCAACAAATATAACTGGTGGGCAGTGGTCACCACCCACTACGTCCCCACTTGATCAACAAAGAGGAATAAATACAAAATCAACATGATGTCCCAGAGATCACAATTTCAGTTCATATGAAGAAACAACATAGAATGGTGCACACAAGTGACCAACATACAGCACCAAGATATCTTTCTGAGGAGTCAAAGGCAGTGGAACTCCAGATACAAAATCCGGAAGAATGACTTCGATACTTTCCCTGGATGGGGACAAAGCTTGAAAGAGATGTGGAAAAAAAACAGAAAAATCAGTAGCTCGAGAGAGGTGTGGGGAAAAAAACAGGAAAACACCACAAGAGCAATCTAAAAAACCCCAAAACTGGAAAACATACAAAAGCAACAAATAGAAATCCAGAAGGTTAACATTAAGGTGTTGTAAATAGCTAGCACTTTGAAAGAGCAAAGTGGTTTAATTCAAGCGATGGGAAGCCGAGTTAGTGAACTTGGAGATAATGATGCAAATAGAAAAGGAATCACTCTTTTCTCAGAGATAAGTGCAGAAGTCGAAGGAAGCTCTTCAAGCGTTGGGTTTGTGTGGGAAATAACAGGGAGGCATGGACATCAAAACCCAGTGTTAGTCCAGTTGCCATTCAGTCGTTGGTACTTACCGGGATTTTCATAGGCATGAACCATCCCTGAGATGAGCACCAACATCCAAAGACAGTCTAAGGGTTCTGTGGGACGCTAACGAGAGGCATCATGCATGTCTGAGAGGGATTAAAGGACAGGAAGAAACAAACAGAGCTGCTGAAAGAAACTTCCCTCACATCATGAGCGTGGACGGGGACACAAAAACAAAAGCCATTCAAGAAGCGGACAGAACTGCAAACAGAAAAGAGCCCCAGAGGAATTCACCACAACTCTCATCATCAGATCTTCTAATGTCAGAGACCAGGAAAGACTTCTGAGCGCAGTTTGGGGAAAGAAAGAAAAGTTATTTCCTTATAAAGTGAACCGGTAAGATTAAAGCCTGTTTTTCAGCAGAAACCATGCAGGCAATCAGGCAATGGGACAAACGATATAAAACTCTGAAGGAAAAGAAAATTGCCAACTAAGAATCTAATATCCAGCAACATCAGCCCTCAAATATGAGGTAGAAATAAGAGCATTTCTACATGAGGAGAAATTAAAGGGATTTGTAAAAACAATACCAATCTTCCATAAATTACCGAGGGGAGGTCTTTGGGCAGAGAACCGACAACAAACCGCAGACATCAACACAGCGCCAGCACATTCAAGTAAGCCCACCTCAAGAAGTGCTTAAAATTAAGCAAAATCACGAGGCTGAAAATAGGGGCCCAGAGATCTGATTTTTAAGTGAAGACAATTACAAAGTACATGGAGGGGGTAGTGTAAATATATAACAGTCCAGCCGAGAGGAAGTCAAGTAGATTTCAAGAGAGAACAGACTGCTTTAACTTTGGGCAGAAAATAATATATAGCAAGCTAGCCTCCATGGAAATGGAAAAAACATCATTAAAATGAAAAAGGAGAAAAATCACAAAAACCTAGTCAACAGTAGAAGTGAATGTCAAGTTTCTCCTGTGACATGTGCTTCAGAAGATGCATGTTGTGCTGGATGTAGCATTTATTAGGAAGGGCAACCGGGGATCCGTAGCAGGCCGGATATCTGGAGCAGAGCTCTGGTCTCCCCTGGGCTGTGGAGCCTGAGCTAAGTCAGTTTCCAAGGACATCCTCCCCCGATGGCAGCAGACTGGACACACTGCCCACCCTCGCATCCCCTCCCAACCCCAAACATTAGCAATACAGCCAGTGTGACCCCAAACAACAATAACAACAAGAATTATGTACAAGTTGTTCATAATTGCTCTGTACTGTTTCTCAAAACAACCAATGCAGTACCACAGCGGGTGGGGAGGACAGAGCCAGGGCAGGCTTCTCTGAGGAAAAGCAAGTTTGGTCTGAGAATGGAGGGATTGGAGGGAGTCCGGAATGGAGAGAGTCGTGTGCGCAGAGGAGATGGCATGTGCCGGGAGGGAGCCTGGCAAACCAGTGAATCTGAAAAGTCAGGGTGTTTGTCGCTGAGAGAGGGGTCCCCTGACAGAAGAGCTGTTGCAGTGTTTGTGACATGAGGGATGCTGTGCATATCTGTTGGGGAGTTCTATCCCAAGGTGAATGGGAAACGTTTAAGTGGCTTTGAGTGGGTAGGTGTGCCACCCTGGCTGCTGTTGAAAATGGATCGGAGAGAAGCCAGAATAGGCGTAGACTGACCCTTAAGGAAGTGATAACGTCTGTCTCGGCATGTCAGAAGGAGGGACCGACAAGGAGCGAGGGGATGCATCCGGGAAGTCTTCAGGAACTAGAATTGGGAGGATTTGTTCCCATATTGGATTTGGTGAGTTTCCAGTTTGTATTAGTAGTTGCGTTGTGATACTTGCTATCCACTAAGAAAGGAGTCTCTAAAATGGGTGGTTCTCAACCTGTGGGTCATGACCCCATTGGGGGTTAACAGTAGCAAAATTAGAGTTAAGAAGTAGCAATGAAAATAATTTTATGGTGGGGGGTGGGTCACCACTACATGAGGAACTGTCTTAAAGGGTCGCGCCAGGAGGAAGGTTGAGAACCACTGTTCTAAAAGAAGGCCAAGCTTTCTTTCTTTCAAACCATTTTATTAGGACCTAATCCAAACATCATACCATTCTATAATTCAGTCATTTCAAGCAGTGTTGGACGATCATTACCACAATCAGTTTAGAAACATTTTCCTCCTTCTTGTACTCTTTGGTATCAGCTCCCCATTAGCCTCCCCCCCAAACCTCACGTGCTGTACCCCCACCAGGACCTCTTATACTTACTGTCTCTATAGTTTCAAGTCAACTCCCCCGCCCCCCGCCTCCCTTTGGTGTAATAAATGTAATTGGATTGGATGCTAGATTAGGAAAGAGATCAAATAGGCGTCAAACTATTTTGAATGTATCTCTCCTCACGTAAACATAGACCAACAGAAGGAAACTTGCTGTTGTGTAGCTTTAAAAAAATGCTCTGCAAGATGGAATTGGGGTCAAACAGTCAAACTTCCTTTCTAATCCGTAAATCTCTCACTTGCTTCTGTCTCTCCTAGGTGAGTTTATTAACCTCCAAGCCTCAGTTTCCTAACTGCAAAATAGGAATAATACTTTATATGGTGATTTTGAAATAATACATATTAACACAATACCCGAAACACAATGAATGTTCAATAAATGTGAATTTTTATTATAATGATGATTTGATACTATTGGACTAGTTTTTTCCTCTCTAAGTCGTTCTTGGTTAAAGTGTTATAAATTTATGCTATGTAAATATGATTTCTAGGGATTTTTCTTAACATTTCTTTTATTAAGATGATGAATGCAATGCTTCTCAAAGACCTTGGAATAAAATTTGATAAAGTTGAGGGCTTATGTGAGTTTAAAAAATTTGAATATATGGAACTCATTCTAACTTAATGATTACAGTCAAAAGTGATATGAATTAGTTCATTATAGCTAAAGAAATGCTTTGTCCTTTATTTATATTTCATGGTAATTACATTTTCTTTATTACAGTGTATCATTGTCAATTATTGGAATGTCTCATGAAGTATAAACAAGAAGTCTGGAAAGTAAGTTTTGGGTCACATTTAAATCATAGCCACAGATTTAATTTATAGAATATAGTAAAAAATGTTTGCATACTAAAGCTATTGTTTATTGATGTCTGTTATTTTTGTGTGGCAGAGCCTATAATTCCTTATTTAGCGGTTAAATTGTTTTTTCATCTAGGGGAGAAATGAAACTTTAAGAACACAATGTCTTTACAGAAAAAAAAAATCACTGACTCTATCTTCTTTTGGGAATTTAGTAAATACTAGCCTAACTGGTAAATAATTTGACAGATTGCTTAAGAATTTATCTCTTTTTTTGAAGAGTAGATGTGGATTCTTGAGCAATGTATTTTAAGCAAATCTATTTTTAAATGCAGTGTTTGACAAAGTGGTTTATGTTCTGATAAAATTTTAACATCAATTTGATTAGCAAATTGTTAGAAGGTAGTGTACTTTTGGATTTTACTTGGGGAGGCTCTGTACAGAAAGACATAGTAAATAATACAGAATGCTTCATAGATACTCGATGAGGCGTGCCTGATCAAGAGCTTATAGCCTGGTAATAGGAGGGAAATTACCCATGTCCAGGTGCTGCACGGAGCCCTAGTGTGGTAGTGGGTTCAGCATTGGCGCAAACTGCAAGGTCAGCAGTCTGAATCCACCAGTTTGTGCCTGAGAGACAGACGAGGCTGTCTGCTCCCGGAAGGAATTACAGTCTTGGAAACCCACAGGGACAGTTCTACTTCATCCTAAAGGATCACTAGGCGTCGGAAGCAGTTGGATGGTAGTGAGTTTGGGGAAGGAGCTCCCTGTACTTTTATTTGCTGATGCTCAGTAGACATGCTTCATCTTTCCTTTAGGATCTTCTGTATGTGATAGCCTATGGTCCTTCACAAGTGAAGCCTCCGGCCGTGCAAATGCTTTTCCACTACTGGCCCAATTTAAAACCTCCTGGGGCAATCAGCGAGTACAGGGGGCTGCAGTACACAGGTAAGAAGAAACTTGCTCCGGAATGTCCTGTCTTAATTTCTCCTATGCCTCGTTTGTCTCACCTATTTCTTTATTTACTTTTTAAATCTACTTGCTTATCTTGATCATGCTTTTGAACATGTTCAAAATCGCTTCCCAGATGATGTGGTGTATAAAAAAATAAATAAAAACTAATTTAAAAAACCATTCGCAACCCTGTAGCACATTATGTAAGTCCCAGTCCAAGTTGCTATGTAATTGATCTATGGATTTAACTCTCGTCCATCAATTCCTACCCCGATGCAAGGAGAGAGCACAATGCTGCAGATTGGTTCGTTGTTCACCAAAACCCAGGCGGGCTAATTCTTCTCGAATAGGAAGACTTGGAGTATTTCCCAACAATACTGGTTCGTAGTAGCCAACCTTGTCGGGACAATTGAACAATTGATGAGTACTGGGTTTATTAATAGCTGAGAAATTAGCATTGGGCGTTCAGTGTAAAGACATCCATTTGCCAAAGACACAAAAATCAATCTCCACACGGAAATCAAAACTAAAACCTCCAAACTCATCATCCGCCCAACAAGCCAACAAACCCAGGGTTTAGGCTGTTGTTTATGTTTCCATATTTTAAACTGTGGGATGCAACCCATGCAGAAGCAAAGCTACACAAACACCATTTATAACAAGCACTGAAATTGTGTCCCTGTCCAAACATCTGACACCCATCTTTCAAATACATTAATCATAATCTCAGCTCAAAAACTGCAAATTAAATTAGTTAATTTCTTACTTAAACACGTGACCGCGCTACATGAAGACCACAGCAACGTCGTCCTGGCTCCTGCAGATGACAATTGGTCTATGATGGGCTCAGACGCTGTGAGTTGGAATTGACTCAATGGTAGTGTTTCTAAACTCAACGGAGCAGGATCGTGGTCCGCTTTGACACATGGAAGTTCTCAAATCGGAACCCATTAGTCTTAATTTGCCTAGTGAAGCGCTGGGCTGCTAACTGCAGAGTAGATGGTTCAAACCCACCAGCCGCTGTGTGGGAGAAAGAGGAGGTTGTCTGCTTTTTAAAGATTTACAGTCTTGGAAACCCTGTACAGTGTTGCTATGAATCAGAATTGATTCGATGGCGGTGGGTTTTGAATCATGATCTCATGATGGAGACTTGAATGGTTATTGGAAATTGTTCAGTGGTGCCTGCCTGCCCCGCTCCCTTTAAGTGGCTCCACAGACAAGTGTGTGTCATAGTTGTCATACTTAGACATCCCTCTGAGTTCTTGATACTCCTTCCTCTCCACCCCTCCCCCCACCCTATATCAGTATACCTACTTTTCTGAATCCGGAGAGGTGAATTTGTTTGCAAGACTTGTTTATATTATAGAGTACTCTGAGATTATATACTGGTGTTCTCAGAAATGATGTATTTGTCGATTTTGGTGGTTCTAAGGAAATTTAACTGAATTCAGTTGTCTGTTGTATGTTCCTGATAAAAGAAAGGTGTTATGTTAAAGAGAAATATTAGAGACATTAAACCTTTTTTTTTTCCAATTTTTGTTTGGAGTACTTGGTGTGCTTAGTCTAAACTCAGAATATATTCTATTAACCTTAGTGATAATAATTATATTTTTGGTGGGAGTTACTATTATTGGTGTTTTGTGCCATTGATAGTAGAGAAAGCTTCAGTTTGCCAAGTGGGTAGTTTACATATAAAAGCACCCAAAAGATGGAAGAGTTCCTGGAATAAAAGGTGAAAGAACTGAAATAATGACCGCAACCCCTTCTCATAAGATCTCTACAATAAACACCCAGCTGCTATATAGATGGCTATCGAATGGGATTTATTTATTTGATAACTATTTGATGAGCAATTGCTATGTCCACCTCTCGTCTCTCGGTGTGCTGTACTGTGGTGTAAAGCTGGAAGTATTCCAAGTGCCAGCAGAGTCATCGAAGGGAGCTTTCAGACTATAAACAGGCTACGAGGAGGCTTTCAACTTCTGGGAGGTTCGCCGTGGAAAACCTTCTGAACGGCAGTGGAACGTCCTCAGATAGGGTGCCGGAAGATGAGCCGCTCAGCTTGGAAAGTGCGACTGCAGAAGAACGGCCTCCCGGCAGTAGAATTGACAGGAACGATGCTGACGGAGCGAATCTTTCAGGACCTCCATCTGCTGATGGAGCACCGCTCCAACTGCGAAGAGACGTCTGCAAACACCCATGGATAACCTGAAGGCGGAATTAGGACGCACAGAGACGGGAAATCATCAAACGTGAACGGAACACATAAGAGTCACTATCGTAGGCGGACGTGAACTGAAATGGATTGGCGTTGGCCCTTTTGAGTTGGCCAGTTTTATGGTGTCTGATGCTAGGAATGACAAATTCAAGAGGAATGGCTAATTCAGAAACAAGAACATTTCAAGGTCTATCTTGACATACAGTGCTATCCGTAATAGGATAATAGCTATGCTCCGAACAGTAAAATATCATGGCTTGAATAGGTGCACCTTAGGCCTCCAACTACCATCATTGCTCTTGAATTCTTCAAAGAGGCTCTGTGTAGTGGATTCGCCTCGTTTCATTTCTTGACTGTGCTTCTAGAAACTTTGTGGATCCAGGAAAATGAAATTTGTAAGAACGTCCATCTTTTCTGCATTTCTAACGATGTTGTATATTGGTCTGGCTGTGAGCATTTCTGTTTTCTTTACGCTGAGTTGTTGCCTGTACTGAAGGCTATAGTTCTGATTTTCATCGGCACGTGTTTCAATTCATCTTCACTGTCAGCAAGCAAGGTTGTGTCATCTGCATATCGCAGGTTGTTCATAAGCCGTCCTCCAATCCCGATGCCCTGCTTTCCCTCATGTAGTCCAGCTTCCTGGTTTATTTGCTCAGCATACAGACTGAACAAATATGGTAAAAGGTTATAACTCGGACATTCCTGATTTTAAACCACGCAGTGTTTCCTTCTTCTGTTCCCTTGATCCATGTACAGCTGTGTTCCATACGAGCACAATGAAGTGTTCTGGAATTCCTGTTCTTCTCAGTGTTGTCCACAATTTCTGTGGTCCACACAGACATGTGCCTTTGCATAGTCAACAAAATACAAGTAAAAATCTTCCTGGTTTTCCCTGTTTTCAGCCAAGATCCATGCGACATTAGCAAAGTGATATGCCAAATGATTTTCAGAATCCTACCTGAATTTCTTGCATATGTACTACAGCTGATGTTCAGTCATATTCAGCAAAACTTTATTCGCATGTGATACTAAATGATATTGCTCGATGATTTCTTCATTGTGTTGGGATACCTTGATTTGTAATGGGCACAAAGAAAACTCTCCTCCAGCTGATTGGTAGGCAAAACAACAATAACAAAGGCAAAACAAAAGAGTGAATAAAAAGAGAAAAAAACTAGCAACAACTCAAAAAAGCGTACATAATTCTAGGTCTGTTTGCTGACCTTTATGACTCTCTCCCCACCCGGAAACTCCATTGAGACCTGTTCACCGTGGCTGACCCTGCTGGTAATTGAAATACTAGTGGCATAACTTCTAGTATCACAGTGACATGGTAAGTTTTGAGAGCCAGCACAGTAAGGCAGACTGATAGACCAGTGATGGAGCTGAAGAGGTAACCTTTATTATTTCAGTTCTGTAAAATGAGGAGTGGAATACAACTTAAATAATGTATAAATTAATACAGATTACAAGGCATAGAGCTCATATTTAAATCTAGATCATCTTAATTGATAACCACTATTTTTGTATTATAAGGATGTGACACTACTTCTGTTAATTCAGTTCTTGAATTTGGTCTTAATTGGAACATTAGCATTCTTAAATTGCCTCAACAATAAGGGTATCACTATTTATATTGCTTTACAATCTCAAATAGTCTTAGTAATAAAAATTATATTGAGACAAGATTTTATGGGATTTGGAAGCTCAAGATGGAATGTTTTCTTAGGGAGGAGTGGTTTTCATATATTTTCCAGTGATTTATTTTAAACAGTAGTTTTTTATTATATTAAGATTGCTCATAATACACATAGAAATGTGTAAGAAAAATTACTAATACCCCCCCCCCCAATCATTGCTAACCTTTGGTATCATTTCTTCAACCTTTCATTATGAATTTTCAGATATACAGACAAGTTGGAAGAATAATGCGTGAATAGTCTTAGGTCCTCCATCAAGATTCAGGATTTGTTAACAGCTTGCCATATTTTTATCTCTCTGTATGTGTGTAAATTGCGTATTGCCTCTCAAGTATAATTACAGGAATATTCCCAGGTCATAGGCACAAAATCAAATAATGAGCTTTTGTGATTTCTTTTGGGTTTAATAGTATTTATCAGAACAGCGACTTCAATTATTTTGGCCATTAACTATAACTCTTAAAGATGCAAAATATTATACTTTTAATGGGTAACAAAAATAGCCATATTGCAGTGATGCTTCTGTGGGGGAGAAATAAAATCTTCAATAATTTCCTTGTGATAGCTAACTTGTAAATAATTGAGCCTTTGTTAGCAAAACACACCATAGGTTGTCTTTAAACTATGGGATGAAAGATACGGCATAAACTATACATTTCCAGCATAGCAACTGTCACAAAACCAGAGACTTAACTAATGGTAGCATTGCATGGTCAACTTTGCACTAGGCCACCAGATAGTTAGTCCCACAAAAGTACAATTGGACTCTTGAGTTCAGTGTGAGAAGATATAACAGTTTTTTATGTCACAATTTCCCTGTAGTATAAAGTTTGGGGGGAGCCAGTCCCCCACCACTACTACCCACAGGTTCAGTAATCACAATTGTAAGGTTGAGATATATAAATGCTTTATATTAAAGTCATCAAGAGCATGAGCGATAGAAGAGATATTACATTAATGCAGTCAGACACATTTTATGGTAGCATTGCTCACCTCAGCCCAGCTTGGTGGTCCATGTGGAGAGAGGGGGAAAGGGAACAAGGGAAGAGGATGGGAGAGGAGAGAGGGAGTAAGAG